ACACACACACACACACACACACACACACACACACACACACACACACACACACACACACACACACACACACACACACACACACACACGCAACCCTAAAACCCCCCACAAACTCAGTGCCAGAATACGAGAGACAGAGAGAAAGAAGCGAGAGTATTAGAGAGGGTCAGGAGGGGAGGAAGAGGGTTACAGAACTATTCCAAGTGAGAAAAGAGAGGGGGAGAAGAGGAGGAGGAGGCCCCCTATCAGCCCCTCATCCCCTCCTCCACTGTAGAGGAGAAAAACAGCAAGTTTACAGGAAAACAAGGGCAAAGTTCCTGCGTGAGTACATGTGGACCCGACCTGCGAGCCCACACAACATTTACTGGCAAGGAGACGCACACTCATCGCAAACAATACAAAAGTGGGGAGACACAAACATGTGTGCACATCTGTCCCCACACACCCACCATCACAAAGCAACCATCAGCCCAAACCACCAAGGACACCAAAACATGTGCGAAATCCATCTGTCAACGCACGACCATCCGCTACTGCAGTGCTCTCCCTCTCTCTCTCTCTCTCCATCTATCCCTCACCCCCCAAAAAACCTACCCACCCTGTGCCTGCCTCTCCTATCAGGCTTGTTTATGTAAGAATGACAGTGTTTCCCGCTCATCCTTGGCTCGATCCCCACTGACAAGCAAACACACACCCACGGTGAGCCAATGACCTGACTTCCACTGGCATAGGAACACAATCCCACCACATGCAGGCCACAGATGTATTTGCAACACTACACTGGTGCGGACAGTCCATAGACCTTTATCACCACCACAACACTAACATGTCAGAATTTCATTTGAACCAATTATTTATATCACAATCTTCCAAAACATCCAGATTAAATGGAGAAAATGTTCTTGGTTTTTTATCTTTGCGACGGCATCTGATAGAGAACGATCAGACACAAACACGTGAGAAAGTCGCAGAAACAAAAGCCCCCTCAACTCCCAAAATTCAGCACATTCCTGCTCGGTGCTCCGCTTAGGGAGGAGGTTACCTTGGATACGTCTCTTTCTTGCAGACTGCAGGAAGAGGACGGATGACGTCCATCATATTAATGCTTTATGATGAGCACTTGACCCACTTCTGATGGTTGTTCAGCAAAAACAAACACCGTAGAGTACAAGTACAAGAGCTAAAAGTCTATGAGCTATCTGGCAGCTGGATTCACTTCATCCTGGCAAAGCAGCTTTTTTTATCGGCTGTTAAATACAACATTTTAGTTTTATTTTCTTCTCTGCGTTTCAGGAACCAGAAGGCAAACTGCTCACCTAGCACCCATGCAAATTAAATAAAGCTTGAATGTATCTGTAACAACTTCTTACACCTTTTAAACTTATAAACAATGTGATTACATGAGTCAACACTACATCACATGATCACGAGATTAAGAAACTGTTTTTAGCAAAAGAAACCAGAGGCTAATCAAACACAGTCTCTTATTTTTCCTGAAACTCAACACAAACACAAGATAAACATGGGAAACGTCTGCAACTATCAGACTCAGGAAAAAGACAAACAAACTAACCTGTGAGATGTATCCTGGGGGGACGTGGATGGGAGGGATCGACCCATTTGGGGACATCATGGGAACCTCAGCAGGACCTAGAGAAGAGAGAGAGAGAGGGGGGGTTATTTATTTAACCAGGCAGCTCACATTGAAGTGAATTCTAATTTGCATTTGTCAATCAACAGAACACATTGAGGGACACAAACACGACCACACAGTGACACAGGGAGGGCGACACAGATGTGAAACATTCATCTACTGAATTAAGTTTGTATAAGAGTAAAGTTTACTATGTAGAAGGTCCAGAAATTACTTCACTTTGATATTATATATATATTGAAATTGTATGTTATCTTTTTTTGTTTTTAAACTCACTAGATCTTGATCTGCACCAAAATGTCCACACTCTAAAGATTAGTATTAACCTGAATACCTCTGATTATTTCCATCGAGATCGATGAAATGAGAAATCAAAGAAAAATCCTATTTCACAATGTTCAAGAGATTGCAAACAATTCCTGGATCCGCCCCCCTGATCCAGATCCGCACCAAAACAAATCAGGCTCCTCCCTTACCCAAACCACATGTTTCCACCAAGTTTCACGGAAATCGGTTCTGTATTTATTTTCTTGGGTAATCTTGCTAACTAACAAACGCTGATGGAAATACCCATCTAAACCTCAGCAGGTCAAATTCCCTTCATACAAACATGTCTGGCCTCAAAAACACGTGAATCTAAACGTAAATGAAAAGTTGCATGTGTCTTGTGTGAACGACACGTGATGGCACATGGAAAAAAATTAATCTCTCCAACGAGGAGCAAGAAAATCTAATAGAATTTGCAGCTTGATAATGATGATGTTGACTTTTCCACAATCCATATCTCTCCCCGCACCACCGTCTCTCTCCGTCTCTCCATGATGGAGGTCTGTGGCTGGTAAAGTCATTGGGACCCCGTTGGGACAGCTGGAGGCAGACCTGGCCTCAGAATAAATCACACAGAGAGCACACACACACACACACACACACGGAGGCCCCCGCTACCTATGAAAACACATGCAAGACCCACTAATATTTTCTGTCCGTACAGACGCCAGTCAAACAGGCTCCTACTTTAAAGGGCCATTTCACCTCATTGACACAACGTTCACGTTTTCTCATTTACCGGCTACAAGAGCGTAAATATGTTTATATTTCCTTCTGTGTTTTAAGGGGACGGATCATTTTACTTCTATTTTCATCCGTTCTGCTTCTCTCAGCCTCTTTGTGTTCTCGCCATCCTTCTCTATACCTTTCCCATACCATTCCCTCTGCTTTTCTTTCTGTCTTTTTCCCCTTTTCCTCTATCCCTCCATCTCACAGATCAGGAATTCCTCCCACAAGAACTTCCCTCTCTTCACCTATTACTCACTCCTGCACCTTTAATTCCAATTACTCACTTCATCCCTCCCTTTCTTGCTTCATCCTTTCCCTATTTGCCTCTTCGTTACTCTCCCTCTCTCTGCCAGCCTGCCTGAATCATCCCCTCTTTCCTGACCTCTCACCAGCCAAAAACAAATAGGCAAGCGTACAGTAAATACGCACAATTATGCACACATAAACACAACCTGAGCAAAGTCTACTGTGTGTGTGTGTGTGTGTTTGTGTGTGTCACAGGTATGGAGAGACAGACTTCTTTCAGTCCTGTCTGCTCCCCACCATGCCGACGAACGAGGAGGGATATGAAAGTCCTCATTGAGTAGAAGGTTATAGCATGTGGAGAACACACACACACGCCTCTCCCCTAACCTCTTTCCATCACTGCTCATAGCCACTTTTCCTCTTGCTCACACACTGACTCAAACACATACACACACACACACTCCCTGTATCTCAGTAAACTCCGTCTCTCTCTCTCTCAGCAAACAGACGTGTGTTTGGACAGACTCTGCTGCCTCTGTGCTCTTCACTCAGCAAACAGCAGCATTCCTCTGCTCACACACAAACACACGTACGCACGCGCACACACACACACACACACACACA